AACTAAAGAGTCATCCTCACACAGCTGGGTATTTGCTACTTTGACCATTTTTTAAAGTCTTGTTGGTTTTTCCAGGTTCTTCTAGCCTTTCATGCGTTGGAACAGAATCCAAATGAAATACCTGATATGATTCATGTATTTCATACACAAGGCAGGTGGCACAATGAATAAGATGCTGGGCCAGGAGTCGGTAAGACTTGAGTTCAGATCCAGCCTTAGCCTTATTAGCTGTGTGACCCTGGTCAAGTCAGCTTCAATTTCCTCAACTATAAAATGGGGATCATAATAGCACTTAGCTCTCAGGGTTTTGTGAGGATCAAATGAGTTAGTATTTTTAAAGTGCCTGGCGTGTTGTGGTTGCTTAATAAATCCTTCTATTTTTCCTTCCTCCTTCCCTCCTCCCTCTCTTCCTCCCAAAACCCCGCCAAGAAGATAATGGAGGATAGTTTTAGGCAGAAGTGAGTGGGGTGAGATTCTCATATTGCGTCCCCAGATTATCTTGCTTATTACGAAGCTTTGAGTCAGTTGATATTTGCTTCTGCCAAAATGAGCGGAACAGTGTTTAGGTCTCGGGGGGCAGTCAAAACTAGCTCCCTGGATTGAGGTTCGACATCCATTCTGGTGAATAATCATCCGTTCCTATTGATGCTATCTATTTTAGACTGTAAATCTGTGAAGTATAAGTACCCATTCGATTCAGATACCCACTGTGTGCTGGCCAACCCTGTGCTAGACATTGGGAGAGATATATTGAAAGCAGACAGACTTTGTCCTTTTAAAGGAAGAGGCTGCAAAGTAGTTGGGGAGATAAGATTTATAATTAGCAAGGCCTTGGAGCCAAATGACACAAATGTTAAATTGTGTGATATAGACCATAAGTGGCATACCTGCCTAACTTACTTTCTGTCATATCCATCCCAGCACCTCATTCTGATGGACTTTTTCCTCATCCCTATTTGAAGATGACCTGATGGTGGGTGATGAAGTGCTGCTTTCCTTAGGGAATCATTCAATTTAGCAAACATTTATTAAGCATTAATGCACTATGCTCAAGTGTTATACAAAGATGAAATAATTTCTGCCCTTAAGCTACTTTTACTCTACTAGTTATACCAGTGAAAGCTGGTAAGAGGCTTGATGTTGGCCAATGACTTTAAGAGCATAGACAGAGGTCTTATATCTCTAAATGGAGTAAAGATGCAGAGGTGGTGTTCTGAAAGCTGATGGGGCACTTAAGCCTAGGATATCTATCATGTTCTATCTGATAGTCATGAATGGTGCCTGAAACATGGCTTATGAGGGCACCTTCTACTCTTCTCTCTTCTTATGAGCACCAAGTGCAAAAGTGACTTGCAGGTTTTTTCTTTTCCTCCTTCTTCTAAGCAGAAATTAACTTTTTTTTTGCTCCCACCACTTTGTCCCACCCAAAATTTTTAGTGTGGACCCCACTAGCTGAAATAGACAGAAATGTGCAATGGGAATTCATGTGGGAAGAGTTCTTACATGGAAACAAATTTTGGGTTTTAGGCTGTGGGATCATAGGATCAAACCTTTAAGTCTGGAAGGGAATTCAGAGGCCATTAAGTTCAATCACCTAATTTTATAGATGAAGAAAATGAGGGCCAGAGACAAAGGTACTTGCCCAAGGTCACACCAATAGAAAGTATCAGAGTGAGGATTTGAACTTGACCTCTGTAGCAAATCCATTACTCTTTGCTTTCTATCATGCTGCCAGAAAAGGATCATGGGATCATAAATTTTAGAACTGGAGAGACTCTTAGTGGCCACTGAATCCAACCCTTTCATTTTATAGAGGAGGAATTGATGTCAGGCTAAGTAACTTGCCCCCAGTCACATTTGTAGTAAAATAGCAGACCCATGAACACTTGTACTAATCAGTTTCACCATTCAACACACGATTTTCATTATTACTATTATTATCATTATTATCATCATTATAATTATTAACCACCTGAGTTTCTAGCTGGTTCTTCTGGAAAGTAGAACTGTCACTCACTGTGTAGCAGAAAGTTGAATGGTCTTATTACTCCATGTATGTATTTCAGTCACAAAGTGTGTCACCTTTTGTTTATTCAACATATTTTAATGTTAAATGCCCTACTACTCTGAAAGAGGATTGACTGGGCTAGAGGATTGAATGACCTGTTTAACTCTTTTCATTCAGTTTGGAAGAGCATTCTTGGGACTTTGTTCTGTAGCAGACCTCTTCAGGTCAATGTGTATATTCCATGGGAAATGTCTGTCGTCTAGATATTTCCTAAGGCAGCTGTGATGGCCAAAGCCCAGCCATTTATAAAACCAGGTAAACTGTATGACATTTTTGGCTTGCTTAGGCACTTGGGTGTCTTAATGTAATGGCAATTATGTTTGTTGTTAAGTAGTTTTCAGTCATGTCTGACACTTTGTGACCCCATTTGGGGTTTTCTTGGCAAAGATACTGGAGTGATTTGCCTTTTCCTTCTCCAGCTCATTTTCCAGATGAGGAAACTGAGGCAAACAGGGTTAAATGACTTGCCCAGGGTCACACAGCTAGTAAGTGCCTGAGGCCAGATTTGAACTTGGGAAGATGAATCTTCCTGACTCCAGGCCCCTCCTGGATTCCTTTATGAGGCACTGTGACAGAGAAAAAGTGGACATGTGGAAGACTGTATTGTTGGAGAGATGGTCTATGGCTTTGGGGACCTCTTAACTCAATGGAGAAAGCAGAATTGTTACCTTTGGGGAGTTCCTTTGCTAAAAATATGTGGTTCCTGCCAAGGTGAAGATTCCATTCACATGTGGGAGACAAAATACGAACACAAATAATAGAAGCCTTCAAGTAGTGTGGCTTCCTTTTGGAATGCCATGTCCTTGTAGTGAAAAGGGGATTCTGGATAGTTGGGTTTTAATCTAATAATATTTTAAAAGTGCTTAGCACAGTGCCTGGAAGATAGTGGACACTTAATAAAATATGTATTCCCTTCGCTGTTAATCTTACTCCAGCCACTAAAACTAGTTGTATGAGGCTGCTGGTAAATCCTTCCTACTTCCTAGGTCTTGGTTTTTTCATGTGTACAATGAAGGCATTGCACTAGGTAATCTCAAAGGTCTCTTCCAGATCTAAGTCTGTGGAAACAGCTAAAACAAATGTGCTTTAGCAGCATGCCACCAGTGACTCAATATACTGAGGGAACACAGACAGACACTCCCAGAGGGAAGTGCATCTCTGTTCTTCCTCTCCCAGAGGAGCAACAGAGAGTTACTTACTAGCCACAGAGCTCTGGACTCTGACCCTATTATATCTTCCTTTATCCTGTTAGTCATATATAATGAAAGGTCCCTAAAATGGTTGGTGACCATCAACTTTTGGCCCTAGCAAGTGAGTGGTAAGTGGTGGCTTCTCTATAGCCAACTTTTTATCAGATGCCTGATTCCCAGGTGAGAGTTGTTGGCTTTTCCGTGATTGTACTTGCTGTCACCCTCAGAAGATTTAGAGAATTTCGGTACTGATACAGTTTGCTTTTTGCAGAATGAATACCTGTTCCTGGAAAGGGAAGCAGATACTGAATGCCATCTAATGCGTTCAAGATTCATGCTCTTTTAAGAAAATCTGTTGTGAATTCTTTTCCAAATGAAGAATAGTTTTCAATCAGCCAATAAGCATTTATTAAGCCCCTATTATATGTCAAGTGTGACAGTGTTGATAATAACATCTCACCATTTATCAGTTACAAAATGCTAGCTATTATTTTCATGTGAAGAAGGTTATGATACCTACACTGTGGTCCCAGTTGAGGTTAAAGAGACTGGTTTTGATCTAGAAGTCATCTCTGGAACCTGGAAGCTGAATATTTTTTTCCTAAGTCTGATCTTATTATTTTTAGTCTAATAAAATGTGATGAGATTATAAGCCAAAAGTGACTTTTCTTCCCGTTCCACACCTTTAACCTCCCCTCTGGGTTGTCTTAGTGTTAGGATTAATTGTGTCCTTCATTTTCTGTGCCGCCATTTAGACTAAAATTCACGGTATAATAGAATCTCAGAATTGGAAATGTCCTCAGAGATCCTTCTAACCAAACTCTTCCTTGAATGAGAATCCTCCCTCCGATGAAGCTAATGGGTGGCCTTCCAACCTTTGTTTGAAAATTTCCTGTGAATCTCATTTCCCCTCTCTGTGCCTCAGTTTATTACCTTTTAAAGCAAAGAGTTTGCATTTCCTAATCTTTAAAGTCTCTTCCATCTCTGAAATTGTATTCTAACAGTCTATGTTTAATGTTATTTTCAACAATAATATGCTCTCTATGATCTTTTATGCCATTAGTATCAGGTGAAGTATCCTCAGTCCCCTTATGATGTGGTGGTACAGTGTAGTACTTACCCAGAGTTAGATGAGCTTCTCTTGGGGAGCTGATGAGTCCTTCTGGTTTTGCCTTCTCTCTCTAAATAAGAAGCCTCTCACTCTCTCTCTGTCTCTCTGTCTGTCTCTGTCTCTCTGTCTCTCTCTCTGTCTCTCTCTCTCTCTCTCTCTCTCTCTGTCTCCCCCTCACCCCCTGCACTAAGCTCCAGATGCTGCAGAATTCTAACAAAAATGGCCTCGCTGACACTGATCCGGGGGAATAGAGAGGCAAATACAACTGAGGAACCTCACCTTCCCAATGAGGATATGTGGGTCTCAAAGCTTTGGATAGGTTTCTTTGTTGCTTTCCCCTCTCCCAAGATTGGGTTATAATCATAAGAGAATTTTGAGTATCAAAGTTGTAAAGGACCGAAAAGGTCATCTAGTCAATTCCTTACTTTACATATTCTTTTTGGGAGAGTAGAAAGGACTTTCTTTCCTAAGACCACACTGTGAATTACTTAGCTGTAGAGCTGTGCCTAGGACCTGTATGTCCCAGTGTTCTGATCTGGTGATTTTTCTATGACAGCACCGACGTTAATTTCCTCTGTGGTCTCATTTGTGAGTTCTAAGCTCTGTTGGTGTCAGTAGGAACAGTCAGGGCCATAGAATATCACCCTAACCCAGGTCAGATAGGGTATTAAAACAAAATAACTAGAACCCCCCCCCACGGCCAATCTACTTCCATCTGGATTCAAGGAGACCATTCTGAGGGCAGCAGTGTCACTAAGGCCATTTTTGTTCCAGCTCTCTGGCATCTGGAACTCAGCTCAGCACAGATACATGCACATGTGCACATACCCACACATTTGGGTTCTTGCCTAAAGAAGGCAGAGAAGGGAAAAACTGTAAGGAAAGCCAGAAGAATACATGGGACGACCAGAGAAAGTAAGAGGGAGAATTTCAGGGGAGGAAAAGAGCAAGTACAAATGATATTTAACTCACATACAGGCTTAAAATAAAGATAAAGTATTGGTTGAATTTTTTGGCAGCAGATTTAAACACTCTCAGTGTGCCAGCTTCAGGGAAAAAAATGTATAGGGGATTATAAAATGCCTCATTTTGTGTTAAACGGTTTTATTTCAGAGTTGACTGGCTAAAAATTGGCTGCCTTTGGAAATGACATCATGGGGGGGGGAATCAGTCTTAATTAAAAGGAAAAAACGTGGCTAGCCTGGCTGCCGAGCCAGTTGGGGGACAGCTTGCTTGGAGGTTTTGCTGTGTGACCCGAGGGGAGGCTTCTGGGTGTGGAGTCCCGGCCTCACCACTGCTTTTGACGGTTGCTGCCCTTCGTAATTGGCCGAGCTTGTCCGCATCAGGGACTGACAGGCAGTGGCGGGTTCATCTCTGCAAGAGGACAGCCTGACCCTTCTGAGAGAGAGAAGGGGTCGAGCGGGTGGGGAGGTGAAGGAGGAAGGTTAGATTGCATGGAGGAGAGCGAGCTGCTGGGGTAGGGGGAGGACTGGAAGTCGCTTTGTGAACTTGCCCCTTCTGGGGCCGGGGATGGGGTGGGGGAGGGGCTAGCGCTCCCCTCCTGGTGACCAGAATAGTTGGCAGACAGCCCCGAGCTGCATCCCAGCCCTTCTTGGCTGTCAGCGGATGTCACTGCAGACACCTCTTCTGTCCAGAGGAGCCCACATACGTAGGGAATAGCCGACACTCATGGATAAAAAAAAAAAAATCTTACAGTGTTTGGACTTTGAGCGGCTCAAATCCCCCAGCCCCCTTTCTCCTTCATCCTCCCCTTCCCCCTGCCCTTCCTTCCCCTCTTTGAAGGAAACCATCCAAGAATGGTTTGAATTAGCCTGTTGCTCTTGCCTGCTTGGCATTTCTGGGGGAATGGAGCCCAACCAAAATTTTAAGCAAATAGAAGTCACTTTTTTTGAGATGCCTGGATTTTTTCCCCCTTAAAAAAAAGAAAAAGAAAAAGAGGAAGGGCTTAACTTCTGTCCTGAGGGTGATAAAGCCACAGTGTGCGGCTGGAAAGTATCTTGACCTCCCCTCCCCAGAATGCTGTTGTCTTAGTCTGTCTTTCATTTCCTTTGGTTGAGTGAAGGCCAGGGTATTCAGAGGGGAGAGAAGTCCAAGGGAGGGAGGGGAGCAGAGGGGAGAGGAGGGAGTAGAGGAGGGGAGGGGAGGGAAGGGGGTGGGGGGTGGAGTGCAGTTAGAATCCCGCTGGCTGGCGAGAGGATTGTTCCACCGTATACTCAGTCTGTCCAAAGGCTTCACCTTGGTTTTCCTGCTCCCTGTTTCCTGCCATTGGGAACTGCTCCCTTCCTACCTGCTCCATGGCTGGAAAGCTGGGACCACAGACAAAGTAATGAGATCACCCAATCAGGTTATTTTTTTTGTGGGAGTTGGGGGAGACGGAGGAAGGGTGGCAGGGGTAAAGGCGTCAGGAGGTGGAGTGGGTTTCCCAGTTAGCTTGTGGGTGGGGTTTGAGGCGCCTAGTGGGAGTAGACTCAGATCCATGGATTCGGGGATTGGCACTAGAATCCTCACATCGCTCGCTTTTTCCTTTCCTTCCCCTCTTTCAGGAAAAGTCACTCCTGACATGTGATTTCCCATATCTGGCATTTTGGAGGTGGAGGCATCTATCAACTTCCCCTCAATGGCCGGCTCTCGGGCGCTGCTGGAGAATTGGGATACTGAGTCTTGCTTGGGGAGAGACTGTTGTGATATAGTGAAAAGGGCACTAGATTTGCATTTAGAAAACTGTTCTTGTCCTAGTCGCTCTGCTACTACTCCCTGTGTGACCCTGTGCTAGTCATTTCACACCGCTGAGTGGCAGCTTTTTCTTTTGTAAAATGGGGGTGCTAATGCCTGCATTACTTGCCTCAGGCTTGATGTGAAGAAATCACTTTGTTGGCTTGAAAGTGCTAATGAATGTAAGCTATCTCTAGCTGTGTGACCTTGACCAAATCGGTTTGTGTCTGAGCCTCATTCTCCCTTTCTGTAAAATGGGAATAATGAAGCCATTATCTATAGATTTTACTGGACTAGTCCGAGGGTCCAATGGACTGGTAGAGGCTAAAGGCTCTTGCTTCCTTGAAGTGTTATGTAAATGTAAGCTTCTTTTCTTATTCAATTGAAGAACTGAAAAATAAATACTATTATTATTCGTCACTCGGCGTTGGTAGAGATTTGTTTAGCTACTTGCTTGTTGGCCCATTCTGGGAGAATTTAGGTTCTTTTTTGTTTTGGAAAAGTAGGATTTCGTTTGTTTGCTGCCGGGTATTTTTGCCTTTTTCCCTTTCCAGGGATGTGCCAGCAGCCAGCGATTTGGTCCTGTACTGTAATTTCACAGATTATGAAAATAGAGTAGCAAATTTGTCAGTCGCATGGACTGGCTCCTGGCAGGTGTTGCTGTTCAAATCACCGAGTGCACTGCCAAAACTTTGTTATTTGCATAAATGTAGAATTGAACAGGTTATCATTCCGATTAACGCCATTTACTGCTTAACTACTGGAGAAATTGGCAAACGAAGTTGTTGCAGGCCTACTATCACTTTGACAATGCCATTCCATTCGCTGCTTCACTAGGGATAATGGCAGCTATGAAGTCAAGGAAAAAGCTAGAAGGTCAAGGGTAGTTTGGTAGAGTCTCTTTGTGCATTATGTATTTATATGGCACGTGGTTTCCATTCTGTTGATTCCATTGCTCCCAGCGCCCATAGAGAATAAGACTAGAAAACTCATGCCCTGAGCTCCAAAGCTAATTTTTATTTTCGTGCAAGGCAAGGTGAAGAGGTTGTAACCCGAGGTTCATCTCATACAGATTCATAGTCCTAAGAGTGGAATTAGACATTAAAGCAGAATTAGAAGTCAAAAATGAAGACAGTTCCTCATGACAGATGACTATAGTATAGTTGACTTTTCCACTAGTGTTTGGGGATTAAAAGGGAAGATAGATAACTAGCCTCTTTTTTTTGGGGGGGGTAGGGGTAGGAGGAGGAAGACAATTCAAATCTTTGACCAGTCCTGGAGTCAGCCAATGAGATAAAAGCTGCATTTCCCTAAATCCAATTATCTTTCCTGCTTCTTTTCCCCAGTGATGCTTTTCTCACAGCAACATGGAGAAATAGAATGTTAGAGCTGGAAGACACCTTAAAGATCATTTAATCTATTTCCTCATTTACAGAACAGGGAAACAAAGCTCAGAATAGTTAAGGAAGGGGCTTGTCTAAGGTCACAAAACTAGACAGCAGCAGAACCCACATCTTTTTACTTTCAGTCTTAGGTCTTTCCCTACTACTCTACGGGATGTCTTTCCTGGGACAACTCACTATTACCCTGTCGTTATTCAGAATTCCCAACCCAACTGGTCAGTGAAATCCCTTTTCACCACTGACAGTGGATTGGAACCCCAATAACATCATCAAAAACCATCTTCAAAAAAGCCTTTATTAGTTGACTTCTTGTGTGGGACCACGAGTGAGGCTCAGTACAGACACAATGTCTTGGATTCCCTGCTGTGATTATTTGAGTTTCGGTGCCCTGTCATTGTTTGATTTGGTGACACTTCTCTCTTTCTAAAAGGGCTACATACTATAGATTCAGTTATAAAATTTCAAGGGAACTAATGCTTACTTCCCTGTTTTAAAGCAGTTTGTAATACTCATCAAGACAATCAGAGACACCCTGGGGCTCACTAACACTGGACCTTGGAGTCCTGACTTGAGATGCTTATACCCTATGAGGAATCTACCCTATACTGACCTCTGAATTTCTTTCTTAGGGAGTGTTTGCCTCTTGGTTTCATATTAACCCTGGCAGATTTTTCCAGTCTTTGTTCATGTTCTTCACCACCTGAAACATACCTTTCTGCTCTCTTTCTATCCAAATTCCTGCTCACCCTTCAAACTGCACAATTCCTCTTGGAAGCCCGCCCTAGCTACTCCTGCCAGCATTGACCTCTTTTTTTTTCTTCTAATTTCTCATAGCTCTGAACTATTCAATTTAGCTCTTGATTTTTTACTGGATTGTCTTATTCTCTGCTTCATATATATATGTGCTTTGTTTTTCCAGCTAGTTTATGAAAGTTGAAAGCAGGGATCATGTCTTTTCTTTGTCTTCTCCCAGGCAGCCAGGGTAGTAGGATTCTTAATAGACACACATTGGTTGATTGAGTTAAATCAAAAAGAACTGCCAAGTGGTTTTCTCCTACCTGAACCCTGGGACTGTGCCCAAGAGCAAAGTCCAAATAGACAGGGAAATTCTTTAATCAGTCTATCAGTCAATCAAATATTTATCAAGTGCCTAAGTTTATGAATAGTAAGAATGAAATAATCCCCACTCTTTTTTTCGGTTAGGCAATGGGGTTAAGTGACTTGCCCAGGGTCACACAACTAGTAAGTGTTATGTGTCTGAGGCTGGATTTGAATTCAGGTCCTCCTGAGTCCAGGGCTGTTGCTCTATCTACTGTACCCCCTAGCTGCCCCCAATAATCCACACTCTCCTACTTATTTATTGATTGATTGATTGATTGATTGGCTTTTAGGCAATTGGGGTTAAGTGACTTGCCCAAGGTCACACAGCTAGTAAAGAGTCAAGTGTTGGGTCTGAGGCCGATTTGAACTCAGGTCCTCCTGACTTCAGGGCCGGTGCTCTATGCACTGCGCCACCTAGCTGCCCAATAATCCACCCTCTTAAGGAGTTTACTATCCAACACTTCAGAGTTCCTCTTTGTAGATGACATAGTATTGTATGCTATTGCGTCCCCCCAAACTAGAGTCTCTTCAATGAGATCATCTGCTTTGAAAGAGTTTAGCCTAGCCATCCACACAGGAAAAAATAAGTGGATGAAGAATGCATATTACCTATAATATTTCAAATAGTCAAATGGATAGACACTTAGGCTTACCTATCACATTTACCCTTGTATGACA